ACACTCTTAGCCTAACTTGGGGTTTGAATCTAGAATTCAAATAAGATATTACACACTTATTTAAATATCTAGAACCTAAAACTCACACTTAAGATAACCACTCTTAAGATATAGAATTAGGGATTTGGCTAAAATAGCATCACACTATTTTAATAATACTCAAAGAGTAAAATGTTTTCAATAATCAGAGATGTGTTACATTTGGCCATAGGGCCTGATTTATATAGGGAGAGGGGAAGGGGGAAATACATAGTACAAAACATGAGGAAACTTCTTGGAAGCAACTATTTCAAAAACATGGGATAATGCCCATTTATTCTTGTCTCCTTAATGGAAAGAAATCAGAGATGGGGGCTGGTTTGTGGGGCTGTTGTTGGGTTATTATTGTGGGCAAGTTATGGAGTGGGCTGCCATTTTGGAGGGTATTGGGTGGGTTGATTCGGCCAGGCAGGGATGGGGAATATAATGTGGGGTTTTGGACTTATAGGATTGGGTTATTTGTAAGGGAATATGGGCAGGAAATGAATGGCTAGTGGTGGGTCAGGTTTTTGGCCTTTTGTGGGTGTTTATGTTGGGATTGTGAGATTTAATTGGATAGGGGTGAATGGAATAAAGGGAGGGTTTTATTCGCTTAATAAAAGGCTTAAAAAAAGGAAAATAACATCAAACAAAAGGTTTTATTTTACACACTCTTATTTTCGGCCCTGGGCTAAAATAAGAGTAGGAAAAACTTTATTTCGAAAAGGAAATATTTTGGATGTTTAGGGAAGGTATGGGGAGTGTGGGCTCAGCCTCGGGTGTGGGACATGGGGGAGGGTATGATAGGGCCAAGCTCGGATATAACAATACTGGTCGCTTTTGTATGATTTAGGGGCTGTTTGGCAACTTGTGAATAGGTAAGTGTTGAACCAGTAAGAGGTCTGAACCATTAAGTGTTGAACCAGTAAGAGGTCTGAACCATTAAGAGCTAGTATATTGCTTAACTATTCAGAGGCATATGTCTGATCAATTCAGATAAGAGGTCTTAACCATTCAGACTCTGGATAATACTTAACCATTCAGAAGCAAATCTCTTAACCATTCAGACATCTAAACCATTAAGAGGTTGAAACAAACAGTCTGAACCATTAAGTGCTGAACCATTCAGACATCTGAACCATCAAGAGGCTGAAACAAACAGCCCCTTAGTCTTATTCGATTCATTAATTTTATACTCCATCCGTCCCAAAAAAGATTCCACACTTCCTTTTTTGTTTGTCCCCAAAAAAGGTTCCACTTTCTTTTTAGAAAAATAATTATAAGGTTTACATCATTTCTCTCCTCTGCATAACTCTCAAGTCTCAACCACTCTTATTAACCGTGCCTGATAAAACGTGGAACCTTAATTTGGGACGGAGGGAGTGTTACTTTTCTTATATTTTAAATGTTTTTTTTGTAAAATAAATTGTTATTCTTCAGTACTTGTTTTTCAAACTAACATGATTAGCTGATCATCATTCGTTTCAGGCAGTGTTATACTGTTATCCTCTTGTTCTGAGATTGAATTAGTTGCTTTATTTTAAAGAAAGGTGTCTCATAAACTTTATCCACTTGCAGTATATAGGAAGTAATCATAAATTTTGTGACTCATTTTGATGACCTATGTTGACTGTTCTTACCAATGCAGCTTCAGTGATTAAATTTCATCTGATGCACATGATTCTTAGTTTTCTTTTGCACCGCCTCTTTCAGGATGATAATCTACATCGGTGCTCTATTTCAGCGGATTCACGAATTGGAAACAGTGGCAGCGAAGATTCAAATGATGATGATAATTTGGAAGTGAAAGACAATGGATATCATGATGCTGAAAATGAGGCAGTGCAAGAATCAGATGATGATCATGATCGTGTACTTAGTGGAAAGCTAAGTGAAAGCAGCAGCTCGGCTGCCAGTGATCTATATGATTACAAGGTCCTCCCCCCCCACTCACACAATAGTCACAAAAATCTTTCTTTTGTTTGTGAAGTCTATGTTACAATATGTTCTGTCTGTGTTGCATACATAATTCTATGCAGTCTTGCTCATTGCTCTTGTAATTAGACCATGATCGATAACTACTTCGAGTTTTACTTATAGCAAAATTACAATTACACAGAAAATTTCATTTTGGCTGAATCCATATCTTGTGAAGTAGCACCAAGTTGTTGCTACTGAAGCATGATATTAATTTTTCAAATTTTTGTTAGTAAGTACTTTGAGTTCAAGTAGACAGCAACACTTTCTTGCAGTAGGAGGCAATAAGGTGTTGCTTTGTAGAAAGATTTCCATCTGATGGTATTATTGCTTCTATGCGTGGTCAGAAATCAAGTGAATCCCTAATATGAGCTTATTCAACCATTCTAAATTAAGGAATTTTTTTAGCTATTGTAACTGTAAAAGAAATGTGAATAAGTGCAGGAATTGTACCTACTTTTGTGGGATCCAACTGGGTTGTTGTTGTTGTTTATGCTGTGCATAAGCAGTTATTTTAAAGGTGAATTTGTTTATTGAATGCAGGCTTTTGGAGGTGATGATTCAGATTTTGACTCTCCAAGGAACAATGAAGTTCCTGGAATTGCATTTAAGCCCACTGGAAACTCTCAGCTTGTTGCAGATTCTAGTGTTTTATTTAGTGAACAGCTAGACCGGCATAAAAAGACAACTGAAAGTGGTATAGCTACTCCTTTCGAATCACCAAGTAATGGATCTCAGCGGTCTATGGGTGAAATACTTTCATCTATGGATCAAGGGATGTCTCGTCCTTCCACCGGGAAAGATTCATCTATGGAGAAGTCTTCCAGTAAACTAATTTCCTCCCATCTCAATGTCAAACGATCAGCATTCTGGGGTAGAAACATTGTGAGTGTTTGTCGCCATATTTTCTTCGTTACCATGAACATGCATATCGAATTATCAGTTTATGCTTTAGAAGGCATGAATTCTATTCAGTTCGTTGTTTATGGTTTTTATTTTTCAGTTTTATGATAAATCAGATTATACTAAATAAGAAGCATTGCATTATCCATTTATCAAGCCAAGTTTTTTCCCCACATGAATTTTTGCTTGATGGAAACTTTGTTCTGTGTCTGATGCCGTGACCTCTCTACTGTGCAGACAAGAAAGACTCCATCAATGGAGTCAGTTGGTTCTTCTGGAGAGGAAGAGTAAGCTCTCTCTCTCTCTCTCCATCTCTGCCTGTGTGTGTATTAATTATTAAATTTGACTCCATTTTTATTTAAATTAGAACAGTCTTATTTGACCCAAAACATTTCTGGGCATTATTGAAGCATCTAACGGAACGATATTGTGTTTTATTATTTTACTTATCATTTAAGTCTTTAACTCTGAATGGCATATTTATGCCTAATTTTCTTGTATTAGATTTTAACTGGGATGTATAATTCTTTTTATTTATCCTAGGACTCCTAGGAGCGAATGGTTTACGAAGTATATTCTCTTATAATGGACTTTGTTCTTTAGTCGTGTTCTATGATGGACATGTCGATTTTATGGGACATAGACTTTATCAACTATCTCAACCTATCTTCGTCTCATGACTCAGACTCATGATATTTTTCACACAACCAAATAAAACATATCATAATGCCGATTTTGGAATCTCTTTTCATTCTTCCTTCTTTAGAAGATTGCGACAGGAACCAACATCAAATTGGAAACTTTTTTTTTGCTTGAATTTATGGTGTTCAAAAATTTTAGACAATTAATTACTCGTATTTAGTTGACATTGAATCTAAATCTTTTTGTTTTTATGACTGTCTCTAATTGCTCAATATTCAATATTTTATAGGCTTGCTATACAGAGACTTGAGACTACTAAAAATGACTTGCGCCATAGAATTGCAAAAGAGGTAGCATCTCGGTTTTGTTATACAATTTGCTAGAACATGTTTCTGGGTTTTAAGCTCTATTCTTAATTCCACTTTGATCTTTTCTAGGCAAGAGGGAATGCCATTCTGCAGGCTAGCCTTGAGAGAAGGAAACAAGCATTGCATGAGCGACGATTGGCACTGGAACAAGATGTATGTCTTCTATGCAATATACGTAGTATATATTATGCCTCCTTAATTCTGCATCATATGCTAGGTGTTCTTTCAAGGTATTTATATGAGAATTCCCATGAATCTGATGCACAGTATGTAACACAGAGTAGCTTCTTGAGAAAGATCATAGAATTTGAAAACCACTCTGAAAATTTTCCTGCCACCTGCCCAGCTACATTGGTTGTTTTTGCTGTATACAAAAATTTGTGTTAACTATCTGATGATCTATTGACTCAATATATTACATGTGGTAAAAAATGATTTGAATATCATAAAAGCTAATCATTGGAGAGCCTTAGGCATGCAACCGCTAACATGGTCAAAGATGGTTTAAATTTAGTAAAAACTTTTTGCATCATTTTAATAGTATGCACCTTCTATGATAGGTTGCAAGATTACAAGAACAGTTACAGGCTGAGAGGGACTTGAGGGCTGCACTGGAAGTTGGGCTGAGCATGTCTTCTGGGCAGCTATCAGGCTCTCGTGGTATGGATTCTAAGGTTCGTGCTTTAGTGATTCTGATGTATGTAACTCCCATTTTACCATTTTGGTTCATCCCAAAATTTGTGTCCTATACTACATTTTTCCTATTTGTGTGGTTCAAACTCATCCATATTTTATCCATACTTTACATATTCCATACCACCACACACTTATACTTTTAAAAAAATTTAGGTTTCTTTACTCCAAACCTAGTGTGTGTGTGTGGGATCATTAAGTATTACTCCCTCCATCCAATTTGATTTTTGCATGTCAAAATGAAATGGAGATTAAGAGTGGAATAGAACATTTATCTCAATACCCCTACTTACTTGTTTGGGTTTAGTAGTGAAGTAAAACTGTAAACTGTAGGAAATACTCCGGAAATGGGAAGATCGTTTGGGATGTCCAAAAACATGGGAAGATCATTTTTGGACAGAGGGAGTAATAGTTTACCTCACTGATGTTTTGCATGTCGAAGGGGAATTGTTAAGATTTATTTCTTTTTTTAGACAAGGGCCGAGCTTGAAGAGATAGCACTTGCTGAAGCTGATGTGGTTAGACTGAAGCAGAAAGTTGCTGAATTACATCAGCAACTTAATCAGCAGCGCCATCATCCCTTTGACCCTTTGTCGGATGCTACTGATCGTTATCAACATGGCCCAAACAATAGTTCTCAACTGTAAGTAGAAAATACTCATTGGGTACCACCTTCAAGCTGTGTTATCTGTTTTATTTGATTGTTGACTATATACTTGATGATTAGGTTTTTTGGTAGCAAACGATGATGATGATCATGATAATAACAAATTAACAATAACTAATGAAAAACACTTAACCCAGTCTACATCTAATGGTAAAATAAGTGCAGTAGTTATGATCATAATGATATCATCTCCTTAATGAACTTCATCTTCACTTTTGCAAGCATTTTTAGATAGTGCAGTTTGTGTGATTGAGATTTATTTAGAAAGTGGAAAAGATATAAAGTACACAATTACACATTCCTTTCCTTGAAAAGAAAAATACAGTTTATTTGGGTGTTGGGACAACTAGAATGGGAAAAAGTGAAGTTTATTAGGGGATAGAGTATAACTTTGGATGTTATTCATTATACGGTTACTTTACCATTAATCTGCAGGAAATACTTTCAGCAAGATTTTGACACAAGCCTTGCTTTCTGTAATCATGAAAGGAAACAAAGAACTGAGGTGAGTGGTAGATTAGACTTAAAAGAGTACAAATATACTCCATTTGTTCTTATTTAGAAAGTATTTCCGGTCCACTTTTTCCAAAACACAGTAGTAAGTTACCGTCCTTAAATTATTCACAATCAATCTCTTATTAGCTCTTACCAAATACACCCATTTAATACATGGTTTTCATTGTGTTCCATAATTAATTACCAAGGGTAAGTTGGGAAAAATATTATTAATGCAGGAACTGTTTGGTTCTGAGCTGAGGAACATCAAAGGACAAGTTCTGACACCTGGCAACACTAGCAGGCAGACAGGTCGCAAACACTCATTTGACTCAACAAGTTTGAGTGATTCTAAGAGTGGGACTGAGGCATCAGCCGGTGTATCAATGGATGAGTTTGGTGTTGTTGATTGCCTGTCTCATCCGTCTACGTCAAGGGTCACAGAGGTATTAATAATTATTATTGGGCTCCTGTGTTTTTCCAAATTATTTTATTGAACCCCTAAACTTCTATATTGGGTTCTTCTATTGAGCCTTGAACTTTGCACTTGGGTTTATCTGTTCATTAACGGCCAAGGCGGAATAATGAGTTTGTGTGACGAGGGAATTAGGGTCTATCTGTTCATTAAGGCTTAGGATCTTACTTATTTTCACCAAAGTAATTATTCAACTTATTTATATTCTAATTTCCCAGTCAATATTGTTTATTCTTTTTATTTATCCTAGTCTGCTCAGTCTCACACCAGCAGTGGTGTATCCAGCACTGGATCCCTTGGTGTGCCAGACTAGAAATAAAAAACAAGTTGGCTGTGTAGTTTTTAATAGTAAGTAATTGTTTTTTATTAAAAAAAATGGAATTTTCAACATTCAAACACAACATATTTACCTCTTCTTTGAACTAACTTCACACAATTTTTGTATAGCTATTAAGAAGTATACATACAAGGCAATTCCATTAGATTTTGGGGCTAACGAGGAAATGTTCGAACCTTTTTTGGATTCGCTCAAAGAGGTGAATGTGAATAGGATTCTAAGAGAGATCATGTAACAAAGGTCAAATTAATTACACCTATTCCGTAGGGATTTGGGGAAATGTTGATTAACCACCTGGTCCGGTGCGAATCCGGCTTCAGAAAAAAAAACAAGGCACTGTTCTTTATAAATCATGTTGCATGCGAACTTATATTTTTGACCATGGGACTAACCCATATACATGGTTGTTGGTGCATTGGAGCAGGGGTTGGATTATTCTTGCCACCCTCCAGCCGCCACGTCTTCCACCTTGCTGGAACTAACCACACGGTTAGATTTCTTCAAAGAAAGACGTTCCCAGCTGATGGAGCAGTTGCACAACCTCGACCTAAGCTTCGGGTCAGCACCACATGATTTCATGTACAAACCTCCACCACCGTCGTCTTCTCCTCCGTGGAACTGAGCAGCAATCAATGGCTCCAAGGATTTCCCCAAGGTCTTTTGTATATCCTCCTTTTGTTTAAATCACTGCTGCATGTATAGAATTCCCACAATGTTTTTTTATTATAAATGTGCCATTTTTTTTATTTCTTCTTGATCTCCTCGATCTGAGACTGAATGCGCGGTCCGTTCTTCAATGTCACGGATTTTGTATTGTATTGTACTCCATCTATCTAGTGTATTATTATTATTGGAAGCATCTTGAGGTCTTGACTGCTACTACTATGTATGTATAATATAGTTAAAGGGAGATGTTGAATAGAGTTTTGTTATTGCTTTTCCCCCTTATCCTTTATGATGTTGAAGATCATGCAGGTCTGTGCGTGTGTGTGGTAATCTTACACCAATTCACCAAGTGAATTGGTGTAAGATTCTTACACTAATTCAATTGGTACACCAACAAAGCTTCGATAGTAAAATTGATTGTTTATACCGCCTAATATCCCGGTAAAATCCCATACCTGGCTCGTCCCTTATATATATAAAGTTCATTCTCTTCCAAGTTTTCATGTTAAGACATGTTTTCTTGACCTGATTTGATTGAAATAAGTTCTAATCTAGTTTGATTTAATCTAAATATAATTATATTTAAAGTTATTTTTATCTAGTCTGATTTGAACTTATTTCAATAAGAATAAGAATAAGAAGTGTTAAGAATAAATTAACATGACCTAAATTCATGTGCTTATTTTGATTGATCCTTTGTGGCATACTCCCTCCGTTCATTATTTTCTTTCTCACTTTCCTTTTTGGATTGTTCAAAAATTTCTTTCCTGTTTTCTGTTTTGGCAAAAAACTTGAGTAAATTCTCAAAATGATCCTCTCTAATGAGGTATTTTTTCAAATCAGTTCTTAATAAGTTTTAGTTGCCTATGTGGTCTTCTATTATTGAAATTTATTCTCAAGATAGTCTTTCGTAAATAATGTTACTCAAATGATGATTAATTGAAGGGTATTTTAGTATCTTTCACTGCTAAATTTAGAATAAGTTTTTAAATAATCATTTCTAATGAAGTGCTTTGCCAAAATGGTTTTTTTCTAATTAAAGATGTATATTTGATTTGAAATTTAAAATTTTTTTTTATAAGTTTTTAATCATTCATGGATTATGTACAGATAATGTATTTTTTTAGTTTTACATTTAGTAATATAGAAATGACTGTTTCGAGAATATACTTTAAATTTAGATGATAGGAATACCAAAATACTCTCAATTAATCATTATTTAAGTAACATTATTTACAAAGGACTATCTATGTAAGGAATAAATCTTAATTATAGAAAACCACGTAAGTAATTATTTCCTACGTCCAATTTTAAATTGTCTCTTTGCCTTTTTTCTCCGTCCCAAAATAAGTTGTCTGTTATTTGTTATCGTAAACTTTTAAAAGTAAATTACCTAAACTACCCAAAAATAAGTCATTCTTCTCTACCTTATCCTATCATTTATCGTCATCCCTCCTAAAAAGTAATGGTAATTTCGGAAAATCAACTTTATTTTTCCTTTCTTAAATATGCCCAAAAGTCAAAACAGACAATTTAAAACAGAATAGAAGAAGTAAAATTTATTGAGGACTCATTCAGAAAAACACCTTATTACAAAAGACTATTTTGAGATTTTACTCAAAAAACTTTTAATGAATGTTCCATAATACCCTTATTTTTTTTCTTTACACTATTTACTTTATTTTATCACACCAAAGACAACATGTAAAATCTTTACACTTTTTAACTTTTCTTAATCTCTATGCCAAGTCAAACCGGGAAAGAAATTTTTGGAGGGAGGGAGTACTTTCGTCTAGAACTTAAATCTCTTTTGGTTACGTAGTACCGAGTTACTTCTTCCGTCCTAATTTATAATGCATGTTCACCATTCACACGGTCAAACTTCATTTACTTTCTTTCTCTATTTTCGTTAGCAATTTGATAAAATAAAATACTATTGTCACTACTAGTTTTGTGGATCTTTTGATGTAGTATTTTAATATGTATTTTATATTTTTTAACTATATACCATTTGTCATATAAAATGATTTGAAAATAGTTTCAGTCAAACATCATAAACCAAAACAGGCACTATAAATTGGGACGAAGGGAGTAAAAAAATGGTTATGGCCAACATATTGAAAGTGAAATTAGTGGCGAACAATTTAGAGTGATACTCCATTTAAATTTAACTGAATTAGATTGAACATTAATTATAATTAGTTCAGGCACATAACCCAAACCAAACAAAATATAACATGCAACAGAATTTGTGGAACAAACAAAAACATTGGATGACAATGATTTCAAAACCAGGCAAAAAACAAACAAACAAAACTACTAAGGGACGAACAGTGTAAATTGAATGTGAACAGACATTTACAAGTGAAGTGGGGTTATGGGGCCCACCAAGCTACAAATCGGAATTTACATTTCTCACCCTCAACAACCCAAAGGTAATAGAAGAAAATCATACCGGAGTATAATAATTAGGAAACTAAAAACAGGAGGAATAAAACCCTTTCAAACCAAACCAACCCAAAGCGCAACTACCATTTCCTAATTCTTACCTGCTGCTACTTGGCCGCTGCCGCTTCCGCCGCCACGAAGGTGGCGGTGCGGTGGAGGTGGGGTTCACTCGTCGCTTCCAGCTCCGTTACTCGACTTATCTGCCGCCATGCGGACATTGTATTTTTCGTACACTCTTGCCCGGTTCTCCGCCCACCATTGCTCCGCCTGCTTCTCGCTAAATCTCTTCCGGCTGCATGAATTGGTTGTGTCACCCATCACATTTCTTTTTGACACCTCTGTTTTATCTAAATATATCCCACGGATATTGCCCACGGGTATGCGCCCATATGGCAGAACCCAAACCCGACTCAACATAATGCTGTCTAGACCCGCTTGGAACCCGATTAGTTGTACCCACCCCCATTAAGCATGGGCACCCAAACCTACCATGAACCCGTGAGTGTGTGTAGTCAAGTGTTATAATACTACCCAAACCTGTTATGGGTATGTGTTTTTCTCTACGCAAACTCAATTACTACCTACTCGGACATGTTTCCATCAGGGTTTGGGCGGGTCGGGCACCTGAAACTACCCACCACGTTGCCATCCCTAATAGTTATGTTTATGATCCGCCTAACCCTCTCTCCCTACCTCTTTTCATAACAGTGCAAACAATTGTGACATTACAGGGTAGGGGGTGGTGCTAAATTCACACCCCATTTCACCCATTTGGCTAAATTCACCCTATTTATGCCAAATGGACAAGTTTACCCTTAACTTAGTTCACATATTCTCTTTCTTTCTTTTGTAAACTTTAAGGGTAGATTTGTGCATTTGTGACAAAAGGTGTGGATTTAGCCAAAAGAGGTGTGGATTTAGCAATACAAACACACAGTATATGCGAGATCAATAACTAATATACCTGAAGCGAACTCTCTTGAGATCCTTCAACCCTCCTGGCAAGGAAGTGAGTGTAATATATACACCAGGTTCATCCTGCTCAACCCATTCATTCTCATTCCGGGATTCGCCTTCTTTCCCCCCTCTGCTTCCATTTCTTGCAGCTGCTTCTGAAATGGCCTGCCTGATTTGCCCAACATTGCGGTTATAAGCAGTGATTGATCCATTGGAAAGCGGTTGCGTGTTTGTTCCATTTGACTCTGATTCTTGGAATGTTACTTCACCATTCACATGATTGGTTGAAACATCTGTAGAGAGAGAATTTGGTGGGGTGATGGAGACAATCGTGGATGGAGGCTTGGTGTTCCGCGTAACAGGCAGTCTTTCAGCCATTTCCTTCAGCTGCATGCATCAAAGGTAAATATCACATATAAAACCAGCAAAAGGGGAAACTAACTAAAATATGACTATTTCAAGATCTACAATGATTCTCATCCCCATACTCCCCCCCCCTCAAAAAAAAAAAAATAGTATGGAGCAATAAAATAGTTCCACTCTGCTTTATTATCCAAAGTCCAAACCATGCCCATCCAACATCTGTGATCAAATATACCTAGGCTAGATTCTAGACGGTCTTACGTGGAAAGACGTGGACTAATCGGAGCCTAGGCAAGCTTAAAAGGGGATTAATCACTGGCATGTGCCAACTAAGGGAGAGTTAGAACCTAGGCATTGATTTTAAGAGCAGTAACCACTTTCGATGAGCATCCAGCATATTTGGAGATCAAAGTTCCACACACACCTCTAGAAAACCAACCAGAGGTAGTTTACCAAACAAATAATTCACAAAGTAGAGCTTAGACGCTATTTGATGGCCCGAAATGTTTATAGAATGTGCTTTTCGTGAATTTCGTTAGCCAGCACCAGAAGTACTATATCATTTAAATGCATTTGTGTTTATCCTTGCCAAGCTCAGCGAGCTAATTAGCTTGTTTATCCAAGTTTGTGGAGATGATAGGGTGTACACTATTAAAAAAAAGAGCAGTAACCAATGTTTGAAAAATCATCAATATTAAACATATTTCTTTAAGGTGCAAAAAAAGAAGCTTATTACCTGAGAAGTGAGTGACTTGATCACTTCTTTTGCTGCTTTGCATTTGGCAGTCTCCTCCCCTGCTATTGCTATTGCTTCCTTCAGCTGTTTAGTAGTTCTTTCCAGTTCTATCTCTTGAGCTTGGGCTTTGCGTGTGAGATTTTCCACCTGAAATAAGGACTCGTCAAACAAAATTCTAGAAAGGGTCGGGGGATGGGGGATACCGAATTAAAGCTTTGGTCAATTAAATTTGGCGGTGGGGTATTGGTATGATGTGATATAAAGTTAAAGGAAAAAGGGAAGTGTAAAGACTCAAACGGGACAAACAAAAATGGCAACTGTAAAGAAACAAGTGGGACAGAGTCACGGGGGGAGTATCTATCTCTATTTGTTAGGCTTGATATAGAAAGAAAAAAACAACATTATCTATGGTTAAATAATGTATTTCTATGTACGGAGTAATTTTTTTTTATCTTTGCTGCTTTCCAACAATCTAACCTTAATACGTAGTAATATGTTACAAAAAAATGATTTTACACATAACGGTCCATCATCTTTGATATCCCTGAATCAAACAAAGGGGTTTCATCGAGGGTACCAAGAGACTATACAACTGTTTGTTACAGAGTACTTCATGATTAGGAAAATTTTCCATAATGGGCGTCAGACACTCACACAATGCATATGGTTCACCATATATGCTTGTTGACCCTTAATAAACAATCAAAATGTGATTTTTAAATAAAGCTCAAGGTTATCCATATATACGAGCCATGAAAACGAAGAAAAAAAATCAAAGTTCCTTTTACCTAACAAGGTTACATGCGTGTGTAAATTCAACTTCCACACAAATGTCCAGTTGGTAAAACTCATCAAGGAAATTTAATTATTGTAGGCCTCAAGAACCCAACATGAGCTGAAGAATCAAAGATTAACAACACACACACGATAGGGAAAGGGAAAATTGCAAACCAGAAAGATATAATCCATATACCTGTGTTCTCAGTCTATTAACCTCTTGGCTAAGGTTATCGTTGGTTCTCTTAGCATCACCAAGTACCACCATCTTTGGTGAAGAGAGGCCACCAAGAGTTGGCGTGGGTGTAGTGGAACGTGGGGGACTCGTTCGTCTTGAGACTGGAGATGTTGCTCTAGAAACAATTCTTGATCCTGGAACCGAAGCTGAAAAAAACTTCTTTGATGAACCAAAGCCTGGATTAAAAGGTTTAGACATATTGAGGGCACCCCACTGAGAACCACTATTGGGGATAGGTGACACACGACTGCTATTGAATTCCATCTTCTTCTTTTGCTTGGAAGAGCGGGTTTCCACTTGTTTGAAAGATTCCATTGAAGATATCTTATTAAGGTGAGGTCTGGGTCGTGTTTCCATTCTATCACCTTTATCTATAACATCATGTAGCCCCTGATCCTTATTTCCTCTTCTACTACTCACAGAAGAATGAGATGAAGCATCAGTTTCAGCAGCTTTTTTTAATTTATAGAAACAACTATCACACACGCGATATGGTTTATTAGGATTTGGAGCCATTGATGCCCTCAGTGATTTCTTACCACTGCATGAATGGCAATAGACAAGTCCACAGTTATAACAGTTATGGCGTTTCCTTTTGAAATTAAAAGGAAGTCGGCATCCAGAACACATAGATTGATCACTTCCTGAGACCCATTTGTGAAGGCAAATAACTGCAGTAAAATTTGTACCACAAGCAATAGTTTTAACTTGTTTATCTTTCAAAGCTTCAACTAGTGTCGGTGAATTTCTATCATCCATATCCCCGTGACCTAACCTTCCATTTGCTCCCTTACCCCACGTAAAAACTTCGGTCCGTGAAGTCAAAACAGCAACATGGTAAGCGCCACAAGCTATCTCCTCCACAAAACTATTTGCAAGCTTTCCTTCAACACGACATGGAAGTTTTCCATCGGCTTGAGGATTTCCTAACTGCCCATAAACAGGACTTCCCATAGAGTACACATGCCCCAAAGTGGTTAGAGCAACTGTTAAGCTATGACCACAAGCAACCTGACAAAAATTGGGTTCAACAAGGGCTGCAACACATGTTGGTACGAGTCTTGATTCCCTATCACCATGTCCTAGTCGACCCTTATCACCATCTCCCCATGTAAATAGCTTGCCTGAAGAACAATTGCTTGAACTTGAGTTTCCAACCATGACCTCAACAACAGCAGCAGTATGCCAAACTCCACAAGCGGCTCGTACAGTTCTAAGTCCCTTTAGAGATTCTACCTCCCTAGGCTTGAAAACACTTTTCCGATCTCCATGGCCAAGAACTCCAAAAGTTCCATCGCCAAAAGTAAACAATTGCCCAGCAGAGGTCACGATTGCGGTGTGCCAAGGCCCACAAGCAATACATGAGACATGTATACCCTCCAAAGGACCATTTACTCTTTTTGGGACCCAATGACTCACTTCATTCCCATGCCCAAGAAGACCGAAATGACCATCACCCCATGTGTAGAGATCACCAGAAAGTGTTACTGCACAGGTATGATGTTCACCACAAGCAACAAGCTCTATGCTTGTATTGCTGAGGGCATCTATAAGCTTTGGTTGCAAAACGTCAGAATCAACACCATGTCCAAGCCTGCCTCCTGATTCCTCGCCCCAAGAGAATATCTCTCCTTGCTTTGTCACAAGGGCAGCATGTTGACCACCACAAGCGATATTTGTTACATCTAGTACAACAGCAGATTCAAAAGCCTTAGGCAATAAAGAATCCACTTTTGCCCCAAAACAGCTGCCAACTTTATGAGGTCCACCCCCCAGTACACCATCCCCTGTTCCCTCCCCCCAGATGAAGACATCACCTAAGGCATCACTGTCATCGTGCCCAGAACCTTGACTTGATGAGCTAACAGCACTTGAAAGGCTTACTCTAAAAGTATCCGTCCCCACTGTCTTTATGTGACCATGTACCCCATCTGAACCTCCAGAAGAAAAGGAATGAAGAGAACAAGTAGCAGAATCTGAAGGGAAAACCCCTTTGGGGGGTAGCAGCATCACATCAGAAAGTGCCTTATCCATACCGCTTTTAGGCGGGCTTCCATATGGACTATGGAATCGTAACTGATCACTGACATCCTGATCCAGAGATATAAAAGCTAACTCAGACTTTTACAAGCAAAGCAGGAATCTTCTTGTCTACAAATAGTCAATAACTCAATGTGTGTGGGCCTGTGTGGAATGTGCAATCCATGAAAAATACTTGAAACACGGGAAGGGTGCATACCTTCTGCAGGCTATCACTAGCATCAAATGGAGTATGCAGCGGAGAACTTCTACGTGTGTAAATCCTGGGACTACTAGCACCTGATGAGATCCCATCACTTCGTGATTCTGTTCTCCACTTCCGCTGGTGAGAACGTGAAATCAGTGCCTTCAAACCGCTAAACCAGACCTCTGCCTCCTCTTTATCTTTACATATCTAAAATAAGACGGGAGAATAGTGACATCCATCCATTCAACCTGAAAATTACTCGAATGAATGGAAACTCACCAAATCCAGTGACCTATCATTGTATATTAGAGAAAATGATTGGTACTCCTTCTCAGGCCTTGGGTATCTTTGGAAAATGGGCTGGCAAAGAATAAAATTGAAGCTTTAAATAACCCAGGCTGACAAAAAATCACTGCAACCTATAAACACAATAAAGTAATTTTGAGTAGTCAATCAGCCATATCATATATAGATTAAGATAGCCAAATCCCCTTAATGTGCACCCCCAATTCGCAGAATAGAGGGTTCGAGTGAGAGACGAAAGACGTGGATCAAAAGAATCACATGCTTAGTCGGCTTAGAACTAGTAGAGCTAAGGGTTTAATGAATTGTAATGTTTCTAGGTGTTCAGATTACAAATAAGCTAGAGGGTTCAACAATGTGGTGCTGGCATTCTGTAAATGACACCTTCTGTCATCACTGTGTCGCCCAATTTCCTCTCAACTGCTCAGGTTACTGGTTAGACCATCTCACATGGATAATTGTTGCAGACAGGTAGTACTTAGGTAATGATATCACCAAGTGCATGTGCGACAATGTCTAATCTTCTGGGATATAATGTATTGCCAGCACTGTCGGGCCAACATCATTTATATTATGTTTGGTTCAAGAAATTTGAGAGGGAAAGGAAAAGAAAATGAAAAGGAAAACATTTTTCTTGTTTGGTTAGAGAAGAAAAGAAGAGAAAAGTGGAAGGAAAGAAAATGAAAAGGCAAAATGTCCTAAGAGAAATGAAGACCAAATTCCTCCCATTTTGTTGAGGAAAATGAGACAAAACCATTTTCTTTTCTTTTCTTCCAAATTCCTTGAACCAAACATAGTGTTAGTGGCAGGGTCAATGACCCTAGCAATTAGTATTCACTCGCATCATAGGCTTACGTGCATGCTATAATTTATGTAGTTTATTAGCTTATGCGTTAAACAAGCAGTGCCAAAAAAAAATTTGTTTTTATGAGCTGCATGCATTTCAGTATAGATGCAAAAAATTGCTATTAGATTCTCCTCAGAACAGAAAACTCACCGTGCGCTGTCCAGATATTATTCTGGAAACATGACTCAGTTTAAGGTATTTCTCCTCTTTACCTGAAAACCATATTAGAGCAGACTCGTCCTGAAACGACGACAAAGAAAATATCTTCTGAGATTTGGAAATAAGCATAAGCAAATAGGAAACAACTTTGAAGCGAAGCTTGTCTCCAATACTATGTAATTGACCTCTGTGTACTCACAAAGAAAGCACCATACAGATGTCATTATATCCCTACCCCATAATGATAATAATAATAACAACAACAACAACAACAATAATAATAAATCTAAACAGCCATCATATATACATACACTTGAAATAGCTACGGGTTATTAATTGGGGAAGTTAGAGCAAAGGGGGAAAACAAATAGTGTCGATCTGGCTAATGTTATAACATTAAAAAAACTTAACTCTTATTAGATATGACGTTTCACATAACATGTCCTCCCAAAAAAAGAGAATTTCACCAGAACATTATTATAAAAGGGGATTGCTTTAAAAGCATGTGTTGCTTTGAACACTACATCCAAGATGCATAATCAGAATAGAAAGTTAATCACAAGGACCATCATACAAACTTACATTTGCCAATCGGAATGGACAAAACTTGGGCTTTCCTCGTCTTCCATACTTAAGCAAGCAAGCTCCTTTTTTGAGAGCTATTATAGCCTGTTGTAAACACAAGCTGTATCATAATTAAGATGATCCAGCAAATATATAGCCAGAACTAGAGTATTTGAATTTCAATGTTCAAAGAGGGGAGGGTATTGCAGATTAACTTTGAAAATGCTAAAGTTAAAAGTGGACATTAGATAGCTTTTTCAAAATGCTAAAGCTAAACACTGAAGCTTTTACCAAGCGGGCACGAGATCAAATAGGAAAGTAAACCACTCTGTAACTAGTAATCAACTATAAATTAGCAAATACCTGAGTATTTAATAAATTGAATGAAATTGATGATAAAAAAATGAAGTATGAAATCATAGAAACTCTCCTGAACGGCTGTGTTTTACTTTAGAACTTGTTCCTGAGAATTTCATATCTAAATGATCTAAGCATGTTATGCTTCCAGTCGGAATATCACTCTCAACATACAATCATAACTCTATCTAGGAATTCAACCAAACTGAACCCAATACAAGCAACCTACAAAATATTCCAACAGATTATACCTGCTCGATGTCCCGTTCAACAGGTCCACCAACTCTTCCGGCATCCAACGAACTCATCCTACCGGAGAAGCGCCGAAATGTGAAGCTCTAATAAGCGCCTCCAGAAAATACCCCCAAATCCTACTCATTTTCGAGTCCAATCCTTCCCATCCCACAAGGCACTCGCCTATCGACCAATCAACTGCTCCGAGCCTTCGATCACAAGCTCAGTCAGCTCCGAATCTCAATCTCCGCCGCAATCGACGCCGCTCTTCCGCAATTCTCAGGGAAACGAGGAGGTCACAGATGTTGACGGCGACGATGGGGGGGGGGGGGGGGCAGTAGGAGCGTCAACTGCGAAGATTCCGTCGACTCCGGCGCAGTGGAGATCGTCCGAGACGGGAGAGCGAATGCGCTTTGATCTGATTTTCAGTTGGAGACGACGCAACTGTAGCTGGAGCAGCTTTCAAGTTTCAGCCTGGTGGGGGTGGATTGCTTGAACAACTATAAAAACTGGAGTCGTCCAATTGGGGTTCTTCTTGGACTCCCTTGAGCCACTTTCTTTTATGTATTTTAATGCATTCGTCTGGTATACAAAATGGGATAAAATGTGTGGTGAAAAGCTACATAATGTCCAAATAAAATATACTTTTGGTACAATCCTAGTACGAGTATTACTTAAAAAAAGAAAGGGTTTGTTTGGAAATAACGTTAGAAATTAGTGTTTTGGATAAAATTTTAACGATACAGATTACTTTGAAAAAACTAAAGCTAAACGTTGCTCGTAGATAACTTTTTCAAAACGCTAATGCTAATCTCTTGCGCTTTTTCTCAAACAAGCTCAAAGTAAAATTATTGATTTGTGTGCTATGAGCCAACATGATTTTTGAGACACAACTATAAATAAATGTTAACTGCGAAATTTGGTAAAAAAATTTACTGTGAAACAAATACGGAGTACTTGTAAATTTTATTTGTGAAATATGAAAAAATTGCATGTTTTAAATTTGGTGTAGAGCAGTATGATTGGGGCATTTTATCTCAATTTCAATAGCTTCATTGTTCTAAAATACGGAGTAATCATATAGCTCAGTTTTTACGTTTGTCAGTGGATAAGTTAATTCAATAATATTTTTAATTTTACTGTTGTAGAAATTATAACAAATATTATGATCACCTTTATCGAGATGAACATCACATGACGTTGCTTGATCGCAATCCTATATCCTATATATCCTATATCCTATATCCAATCATGTGTGTGTGTGTGTATATATATGTGTATGTATGTATGTATGTATGTATGTATGTATGTATGTATGTATGTAAAAGAGAGTTACATATTTGTGGTGATGACACGTGTCATGTCACACGTGCATACTACTGACATGTGTCATGCCACATGTAATCACCAGACACATGTCACTCTACACATGCATATTTATTAATTTTGTATTAAATCATAATTTTTATTATTTTTTATAAACCCTTCACTTTCCAACAATAAAAAACCCTTATTTTTATTATTTTTTAAATAAAATTTTCTTACCATTTTAGAAACATTTATTAAATAAGCGCGACTATTTTATAGTTTTAAAAAAATTATATAAAATTTATTAATGAAAAAAACAATGTTTCTTATTATTTTTAAAATTATCCATCATCTCAAAAGAAACTATTATATATAAATTTTATTACACATGCATCTTTAATAACTTCATAACATATTTCAATTTTTTGTCTTATTTTATTATATATTTTTTTAGAAAACTAAACAAAGTGAGAATTTAATTGAAGGATTACATGTGGCACATGACAAATATGCATTCTCTATTGATGTGTCATTACTTAATTGATTTATTTGACATTTTTATTTTAATTTTTATTATTTAAAATAATTTTCATTATTATTTTATTTGATGACCATTACATTTGTATAAAATTTTTAGGTCACGTGTGCATTACACCTCGGCACGTGTCATGCCATGTGTATATGTTTATTGGAGTATTATTAAATTTTCATGAAAACCCTTCCCTTTTGTACATTAAATAACTTTTATTTTTATTAAAGTGTTATGAACTCTTTACTGTCTTACACTAAATAACCATTATTATTGAGCAAAAAGAACATTTTTTGTTATTAAATTTTCAAAGCAGTATTATAGCATTTTTATCACATATAAATATTTATTAAATACTAAAATTATTTTAAACTTTTTATCCTATTACATGATACGAAGTATATTTATATGGTGTTTATTTTTTTAACAAACTAAACAAAACGAAGTTAGAGTTGAAAGATGATACACGTTGTATGTCATATATGTATTTTCTCATTATGTGTCATTACTTAATTAATTCATTTGAAGTTTGTTATTTTAATTTTTTGATTGAAAATTATTTCTTTATTATTCTTTTCATTGATCATTTAGTTTGTATAAAACTTTTCACGTCACGTGTGCACACCATGCCACATGTGATGTCCGTGCGAAGCACGAAAAAAAACTAACATTATATATATATATATATATATATATATATATATATATATATATATATATATATATATATAAAACAATTCACCATTTATTTTATATCGTTATTTTTACCAATTAACTATATTTTATTAACTAAATATTTACTAACTATATACTGTATTTTATTTCAAAATATTTTATCTGTAAAATTATTTAATTTGCTATATATCATTTTAACAAATTAAATTAAATTAATTGTTTTGTTGAAGTATAACACATGGCATATAGGCCATATACCACATATGTATTTTTCAATGATTTATCATTACCTAAATTTATTTGGCATTTTTATTTTATTTTTTAATTAGTTAAATCAATGTTTATTAGTATATCATTTAATTACAATTTGATATTTTTGGTCAAGTTGATCTATATTTAATTATAATGTAAATTTATAAAAATTGTGTCTATTTAAAATATTGTTTTCATACATCAAATTTTTATGATATTTAATTACTTAAAACTGTATTTAATTTGTAATCAATGTTTACATACTTTTATCAAAAACGTTGATAATCTTAATTAATAGACACCTGAACACATTCCAAGCCCGTGCGAAGCACGGGTAGAAAACTAGTACTATTTACACCTAATTGATTTAGATCATCTTTAGTGGAGATCTTTAGTGCTCCACATCATGTTAAGCATCTTCCATTAAAGATGCTAGCCAAAAACTAGTCAAAGGAGATTGTACACATAATGTTAAACTTTAAATGTTGTAATATTTTTTAGAAATATTCAAAAGTTGTTTTAAATTTTCATGTTAACTTATGAAATTAAGAGTATATTTTGGCAACAACTACAACGCTTAACTTTAGCAACGGTAATCAAATAATAATAGTATTTAATTTTAGCATTATATGTACTTAATCTACACCATTAAAAACATTAAATAGATGAAATTATTTAATTCGGTTTGGGCTTTTTGTTGTACCAAATTAAACTTAAAAATATAAATTTTTTTATTGGCGTAATTTTTCTGACATCAAGTACTAATTATTATTATATCGATCCGTTTTGAGCACATACCACATTTCATTGGGTCCATATAAAACTTTTATCCCTAATCTTCTAAAACCTCCCACAGCTCCCTGTTCCCCATTCAAACTCTCTATTATATTGTCACTCCTTTAATCACCGAAGACAGGTGAATTTTTTTTATATCTAAGAAACATCATAGATGTCCAATGTTGTATATAACATCAAAATTTAATCTCAAAGCAAATGTTGTGCCATTTTATTAAGAAAAATTTTGAACGTTTGAAACACAAGTGATATAAATAAGGATTATGTTATGTGTACCCCAAAGTTTGTACCCCGCAGTTTTGCACCAATACTTTGTGTTGGTGTAAAACTAATTTTTGTTAAACGCACCAACATTTGTGTCCGTGTGAATTTTTATTAACGCACCCACACTTGTGTCGGTGTAAACTATCAAAATGTTTGTGCAAACCTGCGGTGTACAAATGAGGTATATTTTTTGGTGTAAGTGTAGCATGGTCCTATAAATAATGTTTGCCTTGTGCTTGGGCCAAAAGGCACACGGATGATGGGGGTATGGGGCCATTCTCCCCCACCCTATATGTGGCCACAAAGAGAGGCTATGTATGTATGTGATGGCTATGTAAGATATAGTCTCAATTTGTATAGTATATTAATACATCACAACGAATTTTTTTTTAAATATTTTCAACAATTTAAACCTAAAGTTTTTTTCTTAATTTGATGTCTAAATTCCGTTCAGTTTGACACGAAAAAAAATCAAAACAAACAAATTCACGGATGCAGAGGTGCTAATAGTGGAATAAACACATTTATTGTGCCCTACATGTGAATGTGATTATGCACACGCTTTCTTGGGCACAATTTAGAGGGCATCTTAACAATGAATGGTCCACTCACTTTCTCTAGTTCCAACCTTTTAGTGGATCATATTGAGTTATTGAAGTCCAATTATGCCTTTGCTTAGCAACAATTATTGTTTAGAAAAGAAAGTCCACCAACCACATTTGGTACACACAAATCAGCCATCCTAAGAGAGGTGAAGTAATGATTCTAAATATGTAACGGTCAAAAATATGGCATGGTCCAATTGGTGACTCACACCATCATATAATTCATGTGGATTAATTTTACAACCATACTAGGAGTACCAAAAGTGTATCTCAAGCTACACTTGCATTGACATTATAACGGTTCGCACTGGCAGAAAATGTAGTTTGCTTAAAAAAACTGTACTGACATTTTTTGTTAAAATAAACCATCACACTAGCACAAAATGTCGGCGGATGCTTTTGGAGTACAAGTTTTAGTGTACACATAGCTTAATCCTTAATGTTAACATTTCAAACAATTGATTTCATAACTATTCTTCATTATAAGAATATTTTTAAACATAAGTTGAGTATTATTGAAATTTTATTTTATTATAAGTACCCATGTTGGAATCTAGTTCTTACTTTTTTTGACAAACATTGGGTAATTGATTAATTAATATCACGATGCAAAGCGTCACAAATAAAATCTGGAGGGAGAGACAACCACTCCAGAGAATCTGACATAGGATCGGATACCCGAGTTAATAAATGAGCAATCTCATTCGCAGACCATCTAACAATCGACAATGAAAGAGAAGAAAACTCTTTCATAAGTGTTTTACAATCATAAATCATCCTTGTGAAGTGCGAGATATTCCTCCCTTTTGCGTGAAGAGCAAGAAACAACGTCTTATTGTCTATCTCGATAGTAATTATCTGGAGCTTGAACTCCTCCTTTAACCACCTTAGTGACTCTCGTACTCTCATAGCCCTCTGCAGTAAGTGCATCTTCTGCTATCTCGACTTCTCAAAGTCTTTGTGAGCCCCTCAAACAAAATATCCTAAATATCATGTGGGGCAATTCCCATTCACACAATCCTTATTTACTTTGTTGAAAAGATATATATATATATATATAT